GTTGTTGCGGTTTTGTACAAACAACGGACTGTCCACTATGAACACCTTCGAGCATCGAAGAGTGCACAGGTATACATGGTACTGGAAAGCTTGTGCACAGAACTCGATGATCGATTTGATAATCGTGTCGTCTGACCTATGACGCTCAGTAATGGATATTCGTGTTAAAAGAGGCGCAGAGCTATCAACCGATCATCACCTTGTCGTTGGCACGCTGCGCTGTAAGAAATGGAGTACCATACGAAAATCTGCTGGAAGAAGCAACCGGAGAATCAAATGGGAAACATTGTCTTCGGTGGAAATGAGAGCAAAATTTGCAAACAACATCGCATCACGGTTTGAACTGATCCCGGTGATGAACACTGATATCGAAACCGAGCGGCAACACGAAGCTGCCACCGAATGCTGCGCATTTAAACGGGTTGGCCTGATGCCAGGAGGTCAGAAAAGATCTTCCTGGTAGACAAGAGAGGTACAACTAGCAGTTAAAGAGAAAAAGGCAGCGTTAAAGAAATAGCTTAGAAATAAAAAGCCTTCAACTCGCGTGCGATACGTCGAGGGAAGCAAGATGGCAGCGAAAGCAGTGGCGAAACCCTGTCAAAGCACATGTGACCAAATATTTGCCGTGCGCCAGTGTTGAAAAGTGGTGGGAGTACGCCCGTCCGGTGTACTATGTGCTCTGTTGACCTAAAGAAAGCCTATGACCAGATCCTACGCAACAGTCTGTGATCATGCCTTCGAACATACAGGATAGACGGCCTGCTGCTAAGGGCTATCCAATTACTGTACTCTGATAGCAGATGGTGCGTCAGAGTAAATGGTGTTAAGTCGAAACCCTTCAACGTTGGCACTGGTCTCCGCCAAGGCTGCGTCCTGTCCCCTCTGCTGTTTGTGTTGTACATGGACAAAATATTCAGGAACAGCCAAGCCGATGAGTGTATTGGTCTAGGGGATGTGATATCGAGAAGGTTGCTGTTTGCAAACGACCTTTCTTTACTTGCATCTTCAAAAACTGTTCTACACTGCTCCCTCTGATAGCTTGCAGCCAAGTGCGACGTGACAGGCATGCGTGTGTACGCATTTAAAACGAAAAGCCTATTGCTTTCTCGATTTCTTGCCCGTTGCTTTCTTTAGATTAACGGGAGGCAGTGGAGCAGCTGGAGAAGTTCAAGTACCTCGGAGTCGCATCTACTAGTAATATAAAGTTTGAGTAAGAGATCGACCGGCGAACTGGAGTAGCCAGTGGCGTTCTGCGTGAAC